TAAGCCAAAAATATAGCCATGTTTGAACAAACTAAGAATTTCTTTTAGAATTCATTTTGAAAATTCATACTCCAACTATGAGTCATAGTTGATATAGATATCACTAGAAGATGAGAAAAAACTATCAACTAGGAAATTTCAAATAGATCTATTTTGAGAGAAAATTTCAAATAGTATTAAAACAATATATTTCAAATTTCATCAAATTTGATAGATTTTAGAATTTATTTTTCAATTACACTTGAAATTTCCTATAGGCTTCTTTTAGCTGTCCAATGAGATTGTTTACCATCTCCAGATTTCCAAATAAATGCTCACATTGTTCCCAAATGTTGTCTTAGGATATACGGAGCCAGGTGGAAGGAAAGAATTTCCTCCTTTCAGGTGGAAATTTCCGGGTTCAAACCCAAGCATAAGAGGTGTTTTCTTAATCCAATCTTTTTCTTTATTACAAGAGGACTTTCCACATCACCAAAAGCCTTCTGTTTTTGTCAACCATTCTAAGAAAAATTGGAAATTTCAAACTTCAGATTTCTCAATGGTCTTATTGATTCGAAATTTTTGCTCACCTTCCAAACAATTTCATCCAAACACAGGCATATCCTTCCATACTTATCCAAGAAAAGGCGCTCTGTTGGAGGCTTTCCACATACATCCTTCACTGCTGAAGTTATGACGAAAATCACTTCTGCCACTGGACAAAAACCATACAGTAGAAAAATGAATTCTTGAATGTAGGCAAGAAACGTCATACCCAATTTAGGACTGTAATCAAGAATGTAGAAGTAGGACTCTCAATGTCAACACAAAGGAAAAAGACCAAAGAAAAAAAAACAGCGTAAATGCACAAACTAACATTTCTCCTCAAAACAAGAAACTGATACTAAAGAAGATTACAAAAAAATATCAAACCTTGTGAACATCTTATAATCAGAAAAAGTAGCAAAGACTTACAGGCAAGTTCATCATATTCATCCTTCCCCACAACATAAATGCTGACATCCCCAAGCACTGTGTAAACTATATAAACTGACCTGATAAAAGACAATAATCAAATTAAATCAAATTCAGAATTAAAAAACTTTGGAGGAATAACTAAATAGAGAAGTTAATTTTTTAAAGGTATGTAAAATATTTTACTGATGATTTATTTATATCATCCATAGGTACACCATAACCTGGCATTACTGAATAAGTTGTCTGTTTTCAATAAAAGCAAACCAATCCTATTGAAATTATTTTAGTTTCGACCTCAAATTTTGCAAGTTGCAAGACTTGCCAATGAAGATGTTCGGGATGCATATCAGAAATCATTCACTTAGCCAGATCATTAATGATCATAGGACACAATTAAATAGCAAGACAACATTATTACATCTATTATTTTCTCGGCAGCACTTGATTTCAAAATCATATTTTGTGCCTCTCTCAGACAATCCCCTATGCAGTGCTCTAGCAGGAATGTATATTTCAAAATGATTTTTCCAGGTTCATACCATTCAGAAGGTTTCTTCACGTTCCTACTGTACAGAAACAGAAAAATACCAGTTGAATGCTAGATATTTTACTCTTATGTCTAACACAACACTAATCACACCAAAAATAATTTCTCAAAGAGTACCCGATCCTAACCCTTACCTCAGGATTCTTTTCCACATAATATCTACTTCACATGTTTCAATAAGTAATTGACACACTTACTTGTGTGAAGCAACTAAGAGCTCCTCATTTTTGACACCTCTAAGATTATCTGCTCCAAGCTTAACTAAGAAAGATCGCCAGTGTAGCCTTTCTTCTGCTGGAACTCCATTAAATCTGAAAGAGATAAAGCCTTGAAATCAGTGTTTTGATTGTCAAACAGAGATATCTAACTTATTAGGCATGTGGTATATTCTCTTGTCAGTCAAATCCTATGTTAGAAGCAACGTAATTCACAAGAAAACTTCCATCCATTAAGAGATAGACACTCTAAATGTTGTCTATGATACTCTTTGATAATAAAATGCAATATATTTATGACATTGTAGCAAAAAACCAAGACACAGATATTAACAAATGCCCAACTTCAGTTTTAACAAACACATTGGAGGTCTTGATTCAGTTTAATTTCAATTCATGGTAATGCTCATTCAGTAAAGTTTTTTAAAGTTTTAACAAACATATTTATGACATTGTTTGCTTTCTATCATGACCTAAAAAACTTAAAAATCAATATAAATTGCTGGCAATGCTCATTCAGTAAATAAAGATTTATTGGAAATCCCAAAAATTCATTGCAACAATTCCACAGCTTAAAATTCCTCAAAAAGTAGAGATCACAAAAGGCACAACAGAAACATATGGAATTGAGTTCGGCATATTCAACAGATTTACAGGCACATTCAGACACCAGCTAAATCAAATCAGGAACTGACTCATTCTTATTATAATCTGAAAAACAATTAAGATGTAACCAACCTCAAATGACTCAATGTAAATAAGCTATGATCATATTAAAAAGAAACTTGAAGTAAAACCAAATACAAAAACAAACATTCTTATATTTGTGAACTTTGATGCAATACCAAATTCAAGCACGAGAAACTGATAAAATACGGGAAATGGAGGAAGAGAACAATGCACACCGTTCAATTAGGATGTTCCCTTCGCTGTTGGTGAACAGGATTGCAAGTATCATCTTCTTCGCTTCTCTCTTTCTCTGTGTCACTTTGGATCTAACGTAGAAAATATCTTTTTTCTCTGTTGTTCTGTTATGAATGAAAACGAATTAAAACAAAGCCATTCTTCAAAAAATTCTGACCTTCTTTGAAGTCCCTAAGCACTAGACAGACAACAATTGGGAAATCATCCATCAGAAATAACCACAAAGCACTCGCGGTGTCACGGTGACCCTGATTTGTAAATTTTGGTGAAAATATGATGTAATCATTGTCCATGCCAATTGGAAAATTCACATTATAAGGACCAGATTCATCGAGGTATAACCGAAAAGAAGAAGAAAAATATCGACCTCTGTTTTCTAGCGAGAATGTCAAAAGCTTCCTTCATTTCATGCGGAAGAACAATAAACCATAAAAACGACGAAGTGAGAAGAGCACGGAGAAGAAGGGAGAGAACCAGAATGAAGAGAAACCGACGACAACATGAAATCATACCAGGCCTGTGGAAGCAGGTTATGGCGTTCCGCGAGACAGCGCCTACGGTTGAGATAGCAAAGGGACTGTTGGGGAGATCAGCGCCCCGCGACGGAGAAAGAGCGAAAAGTATTAGATGTGCAGGTGCTGAGGTGCTTTACAGTAGAATTTATTTGACAATTCTACTTGAAATCCACACCGTTGGATTTGAAGAAGAAGAATCATTATCTACCTTCGTATTTTTTTAACGTAAAATCACATTACCAAAAACACTATCCACTTTCCCTCTTTTTATTCAGCGCACGTTTTTTAAATTTATTTCTACAAACGTTAAATAATTTTTTTAAATATTGTTAATTAATAATTATTTTTGTTATATTTTTAAAATTCATAGCATAAATTAAAGCATATCAAAATAGCCACTAAATTATCAAAATAATTTAATTTGTTGCTAAAAATTAGTTTTCACAAAAATATAAGTTAAGTTCGTATAATTGAAATTCTTGATTATAAATCTGTATTATTTGCTTGGCGTCAATTAGAAGAAACAAGGGAGTTTTACTAAAATGCGCATGGTTTCCTCATATCGCTGTCCGAGAAGCGCACATTAGGAGCCAACCATTCATCGATTCCGTTTTAGATTTTTTTTTCCTGGTAAAATTGAATTAGGAAAACCCCCCAAAAAAAAGAAGGAAGAAGAAGGAAGCAATCGAAGCTTACACCATTTTTGTACGAAAACCCCTATTGAGAACAAAGAAGAAAACACAGGAGCGAAAATGGCTAGTACAAGCACGAGTACTGCTCTAATCCACCATTTTCGGTCGCGCCGTTGCTGCTTTAAACACCTTGAGCCCGTTAGGACACAGCTGAATTCCGTTAAAATCAACAGCTCGTGGAAAGGAGCCGGGTTGCGATTCATTGCATCGCGGAACGGGAATGGTTTTAATAGAGCTGTCTGTTTCGCTGCTTTTGATGATGATTTGAGAGATAAACCGCCTGAGTTAGGCAATACCAGTCGTTCTGGTGGCGCTAGCTCGGCTCTGGAGGATAGACCTGGTATGTGCAAAAGAACCAGTATGCAAAGAGAGAAAGAATTCAAAGTTCACTTGTTTTTCACTTGTTTATGGCATATACTCTGTAAATGTTTTATGTATATGTGCGTGTTTGGTAATTAGTTCAATAAGCTGTTCCTAGTTAAACATGTAGCTTGCTTGAATTGTTTAAATATGGAGATTTCGTGGAGAGTATTAGCAACTAGGAGAATAGATGAGCTGGATCTTGCTTGTTCGGGAGATGGTAAGGGTTGTATATTTGCAAGACGAAGAACGATTCTATTCATGAATTATCAGCAACCATTCAGGTGTAATGGCCTATTGATGGCTGCACAAAGCAGACTTTCATTTTGAAGTGCTTGTTTGATTATTTGTAAACAAATACAGTTTGTTAGCATGTTACTGAATAAGATTTAGGATGTCAGGTCCACCATAAGAGTATAGACCACTAATATGTTGGCTAAAAAAGCATGTTTGCTATCTGAAATTATTTTCACTTCATGTTCTGCATTATTTCTCCGTTTGCTGCTATTGATATGATAGCCTTTGCCTATGTTCTCGGTGATTGTACATTTTTAAGTGTCCTTTACATCATGTCAAGGAAAACTCTGGGTCTATAGTTGTTGGATTGTTTTGAGTCCTAAATTTTTTCTACTGTAT